CCCTTGGTCAAACTGCATTTTTATCTTTGGCAGCCAGGTGCATAAACACACTAACAGTTGTTTTTTGTTTTTGAGTAATCAAGCAGCTCTTCAAAGACACATCAAACACATCCCTCAAAAGATGGCCTTTTTTTCCCATGAAATGATCTGTGCATGCTTACGATTCTCACACACACACACACGGAGAGGGAGGAGAGGTGTGTGCTGGTTGTGCACAGGCCTAAAAAATTGTTGTTCTATCACCTGAGAGCACCAGGTCACATGCTGCAGGACCTGCTAGTCTGCTGCTGGAAATGACACACACACACACACACACACACACACACAAACACACACACACGCACATACATATACACACACACACACGCACACACACACATACATATACATACATACACACACACACACACACCACTCTCGGGGCCCCCTGGTAGTCACACGGCTCCATAATATAACTGGCAAAAATGTAAGAATGTAATGCATCGGCCTACACGGAAACTTGTGTAATCTGTTGGAATAGAGTAGAAATATCAAATATCACTACTTTTCTTCTAAATGAAATGCTGACATTACAAAATGCATGGTTTTATACTGCAATGGCAGTGAGATCAACAAATGTGGTCTGAATGGAAGTCAATGAGGCATTTTTGAGAGAAATGAAATAATTAAAATAATTAAACAGGCATTTAATGGGTTAAAATCCAGCCAATGATTGAATGTTTGGTAGTTTGGAGTACGTGAGAAGTTGTATATGTGATTCATGAAAAAAAAGTAGAAAAAGATATTGATGTATGATGATTTAATAGCAGTTGTTTTGGGCGTGTACATTTTTGCCACGAAGGTGTCCAGAGGTAGTATCTGACACTACGTAAAAATTAATAATGCAGTCAAATCAATTTTGTTGCTAATCTTTGACACATCCAAGACTCTAATAACCACCAAAGTTCCATCCCTCTACTAATTATTATATTGAAAGAAATTCATTTTTTGTGTTTTTTTTTAAGAGAAATTAAATAATTCAAATAATGAAACAGGCATTTAAAGGGTTAAAATCCTGAAAATTATTGGATGTTTGGTAGTTTTGAGCACGTTAGAAGTTGTTCAAGTGATTCATGGAAAAAAAAGTTTAATAAAATATTGATGTATGATGATTTAATAGCAGTTTCTATGAGCGTGTACATTTTTGCCACGAAGGGGTCCAGAGGGTGCAAAATGCATCACGAGAGTATACAAAACATGTAAGAGTAAACGACATTGGATTTCAAAAATTTGACTCAAAAGAAGACTTCTTGCAAAAATCCATGCCAAAAGCTGTAACACAGCTGAAATGAACACCAAATCAAAATAAAAAGTCAGGAAAAATGTACAAAAATGCCCGAGGAGGGCACAAGGGTTGGGAACGATCTGAGAATGGTCCTAAAAGTGCTATTCTTTAAATGTTTTTTCACTTCGGCATTCAACAGTAACATTGCTGTATTTTTGAAAAAGCAACATTTGGGTTTGGTCTATTAAGGCTCTTTGTCAAAAAACGAAGTGTCTGATTCAGAATCAATGGCATGATATGCCCCCTCTTTGTCAGGTGCGGCACAACGTTTTGTCCGGTATCTCCAGCTATACAAACAGCATTTGTGCATTCAGAGACAAACCAGACAAACTGGAATCAGCCGTTACAGTTTGAAGCAGTTTTGCTGTTTGTCTAAGCTAAGAATTCTATTGAAATAAACAAACAGGCTTTTATGTTATTTGCTCTGCTGATTCAAGTTGGACATTTTTAAATATAAGGTGAAGGGTTTGAGGCTCATTCAATTGTAGATTTGACTTGCTTAACAAGCTAGACCTGTTTCCTATTGGCCGTGCTGAATATCTGACGCTGTCGGTGATACTGTGTTATTTTTAATGTCTTGCCTTAGTGTGCATGTTGTTTGATAAAGTGTACTGGAAGTTAATAATGCATGTTTTTGGTGTGTTTTCAAAACATTTAATGGTATTATTCTATGTATATTGCATGTTATCTGAAATACTTAGTATTTATTTTTACATGTTTTAAAATGTGTATCTCGTTTTTAAATATTGTTGCTTCTAACTTCTTGGACAGGGCCCTTTCCAAAAAAGAGCATTTCTATTCTCAGTTGGACTTATACCTGGTTATATACATGTTTAATAATAATATATATATTATTAATTAATCAAATGACGAGAGTCAAATGTTTTAAGTGTTGCTACTGATACCAGCTACTGCTTTTGTAAGATTACAAGATCACATATACGAAATTACTTGTGTTTTTAGTTAGCTCCTTTAATTGTGACATAATGTCCATGTACGTTTATCTCCTATAATTGTGACTTTGAAATGATCAGCTCCCTTTTGTAGACATGAAATAGAGTTGTTCGACCCTGTTTTCTACAGCTATATTTACACACAGTTAGGTTTCTGTGAGAGAAAACCTGAAACTGAGTTTTTTTTATGAAAAGTGTGTCTTTGACTAGAGCCTCCACCTTCCTGTGGAAATATCAATCACCTGTGAATAATAACATGCTGTAAAGAAGGAGCAAATTCCAAACCCAGGCTCTCCACTTCTTGTCCTAGGGGCCATTAACCTCCTGGAAATCCTCTTTATTACTCTTCATTTTTTACCTTAAGTCAACAACATATTTTATTAATCATACTTGGTGTACTAATAATTAACTGGGAAATAAGGAAGCTGCACAGTTCTGTTAAAAGCAATGGAACTATGTTAATGTGTAGAAACGTTCTGGATATAATATTTACATCTTAAAGAGGGTGAATGTGATGAATACAAAATGTTTCTAGATTTGCACATTTTTGGGGCATTTTCCTTTTCTCTAGACCATTGAGTACTTTGGGGATTTAACCTTGAGAAATGTATAATAAATATACATACAAAATAAAGAAGATTTAAGAAGTAATGCATACTAACGACAATCATTAACTTACTAACTAATGGCCTTTACGGTCATTAACCCATTCACACGCTATTTAAACAGGTGAACCCACTAAGGGACGCTTTATTGGTCAATTTCAGATTAAAAAAGTTCCTGGGTTTGTTATCGAGGACACAATGGTATATCTAATAAGAGTCAATGAACTTGGTTTAGTGATTAAATGTAACCTTACAAAGGAAGATTAGTAAGGGTTATATTGCTGACACTACTCTTATCAGTCTAATGGAGGTGTAGATAATGGGAAAGGAGAGGCATAGGTTTACTATGATGAGCCTCAGTTGTGTTGCTGGATCTCTGAAGGAACCAGTGAGTAGTCCAGGTACAGTACAATTTGGTTTTCTAATCCTTAAATTGTTATGTTGTGTTCATGATCGACCAGAAATTCCCTCAAATATTTGTATTTTTATGTTAATCAAGGTAGCCTACTAATATTTTATTTAGGTTTCCCTAGTAACATGATTATTTTTCTTCACTTCTTATGTTGATGCTGCTGGATGAAAACGGACACTTCGTTACAATAGCAAAACATTTGTATTATCCATTGACTTATTTATGTGTCTAAAGTAATGTCTTAGTGTTTTTTCAAGATTCCTCCTTAGTATTACCGTACAATGAAATACTCTACTTTTAATAATTAGTGTTTGGTATGTTTTCTATCTACTACTTCTCCCATTCACAAATCCGAAATCAAACCCAACAATCTAAAATTCTATTAATATGTAACAAATATATTCCATTTCAGAGCAGAAGAAACAGCCTTCAAGGGTCAAACTCTGCACATACATCATTCAGCAGTGCACAGTGAAGCTCAAACAAACAACTGTATGAGCAATACTTTGAAATGCAAATGTGTGTGTGTGTGTGTGTGTGTGTGTGTGTGTGTGTGTGTGTGTGTGTGTGTGTGTGTGTGTGTGTGTGTGTGTGTGTGTGTGTGTGTGTGTGTGTGTGTGTGTGTGTGTGTGTGTGTGTAATAAGAGAGAGTGAATACTGCTGAATACACATACTTTACAGAGATGCTGTATGCGAAACCAATGTTAGTTTGGAAAATTGCACAGTATAAATCTATTTTAGTATACCTCAACAATGGAATTATGATCAGTGGAAATGGCCATGACATGGGACCTTTAACATTCACACGATGTATATATATTTTTTTCATTCACAGTTGCCTTGTGAGGACACACCTGACTGAGTCAGGGCAGCAGACATGAAGAAATCGATCAAATCTACACACGGGGAAGAAGAAAGTGGTAAGTGATACATTTTCCTTGCAAAAAAATGTGCACAATAATAGTACAGTTTTGTAACAAAAAACATCTATCTAAGTGTAGCTTGATACATTTGTACGTCTATTTTTGTAGGGAAACTCAGAAATGGGTAAGTTTGTTACGCAGTATTGACATATTCCTCAAAATGCTAGCAGTTGTGACATTTTCCTGGGGTTGACTTTAATTTACATGTGTTACAGAGTTCAGAAGAAAAAAGAAAAGGCACTGAGTGTTGGATACTTTCAGCTGGTAAATACATTATCTTTGCTCATATTTTTCATGAACAGTCATGAAGCAATACATTTGTTTACATTCATATGACAGACTCCAAAGTGACTTTTAAAAAGTCATTCAAACCGCGTAAATAACTAAATACTTGTTAAGTGCTGACGTGCATGCCGTGTTGATATATACATATATATACATACGTGATTTGTCATTACCTCAACATAAATTATGTATTTTTAGTTACTGATTTCTATATGTGTTTTAAACTTGTATACGTTTAACACACTTGTTGAATTGCAGGATTTTTATTTGAAATGTGTGTCACAGTGTGACATTGATGGTACTTTGAGAAAAGGATCTGGGTCATTTTCTTTCCTCTCCACACCACTGTACTGTTCCTATCTTTGATTTGATCATTAAAAATGAGGGTGGAAATGAAAGACAATAATAATTTATTCTAAAAATCCACAAATTCCACTTTGCAGTTTCGATATGCCACTGGAAAAGACACCGTGATGATGGTAGTGGGGGGTTTGTGTGCCTTCGTACACGGTGTAGCGTTACCTCTCATGCTTGTAGTATTCGGCCAGATGACAAACACATTTGTGGAGTACCAGCTTGAGATCGATACACTGCAAGACCCAAGCAAGGAATGCAGCAACAACACCATCTATTGGAAAAATGGCTCCATATATGAACCAGCTGAAAACAGCACTGTGTACTGTGGGTAGGTTTTTAGTTAACAGTATATTGTTACAATTGAAAAGCTGCTGTTACTCATTTTATTCTCTCTGCAGGGTGGATATTGAATCAAAGATGACCATATTTGCATATTACTATGCTGGAATTGGAGTAGTAGTATTGTTTACTAGTTATTTTCAGGTATGTATTTATGCTTGGCATATTCTGCGACTGCTTTACTTTAAAAGGGAACATTTCTCCTAAGATGGTGTTACTTACCTAGGGTTATTTACCATCTTATGTCAAAGAAATGATTTTGTACCACCCTCATTCTTCACTATAGATTTTCTTCTGGGTGTCATCAGCCGCAAGACAAATTGATAGAATGAGAAAGGCCTATTTCAGAAAAGTAATGCGAATGGAGATCGGATGGTTTGACTGTAACTCAGTGGGTGAACTGAACACAAGGATGACAGAGTGAGTTTCTGCTCTTTATCTGCAGGTCAGGCTGTTATCAGCTCATAGCTGGGGAAATGTTTTTCACAGATAGTGTTCATGTTCCTTTACAGTGGTATCAACAAGATAAACAATGCCATCGCTGACCAGGTGTCTACCTTCATTGAGAGGATCTCAGCGTTTGTGGGTGGCTTCATGGTGGGATTCATTGGAGGATGGAAGCTCACTATGGTTGTCATAGCAGTAAGCCCGCTGATTGGAGTAGCTGCTGGACTCATGGCCGTGGTAAAGTTGTGAATCCAAAACGATTTCTTACTGCTGGATGAAAGTACATACATTTTGTATTTGATATCATATGTCACAATGTAGTCCTCCAAACAGCCAATGGCCACTTAGTTAGTTATCATGATTTATTATCATAGGATTCAAATGTATTATCATTTTTTTTACAATGTATTATATCTATGGCGGGAATTATAATACACCTACATAATCAGTGAATGCCAATTCTAAAGTATGATGATACAAATTATGATTATAAAATGCTTTATAATGTTTTAAGATTATTGTTATAAAGCATTATAAATAAGTTTAAGTGTTTATAACTATAATTGTACAGTGCAATAAGCAGATGCAGAGTAAATCCGTAATAAATATGTTATATGTGTTGCCTGATTTTCTTTCTGGTTGCTGAAGGCTGTGTCCAGGCTGACCGGACGAGAGCTCAGTTCCTATGCAAATGCCGGGGCAGTGGCCGACGAGGTCCTGACATCCATCAGGACAGTCGCAGCGTTTGGTGGGGAGAAAAAAGAAACTGAAAGGTATTTTATCGTTTTGTAAGACATGTTTATGCTTTTCACATGAGAAGCCATTTCTCCATGATTTGAAATTAAACCGAAATGGTCAATTATACAGATATGACAAAAACCTTGAGGAGGCTCAGACCTGGGGTGTGAAAAAGGGCGCCGTCGTTGGCCTTTTTCAAGGATTCATGTGGAGCATCATTTTCTTTTGTTACGCTCTGGCCTTTTGGTATGGATCTCAATTGGTCATTGACACTAAAGAGTTAACTCCTGGTACTCTTATTCAGGTATGTAAACATAAATGCATTAAACTTTAAATACTGTATAGGATATACGTTTTTTAAAGACAGTGGCATATGTTTCATGATGTGGCTGTGGTTTTTTTCAGGTGTTTTTTGGAATACTCACTGCAGCAATGAACCTGGGCCAGGCCTCACCGTGCCTGGAGGCCTTTGCTTCAGGTCGAGCCTCAGCAAAAAACATCTTTGACACAATTGATCGGGTAACCTCAAGATGCCACTTAAGACTTGCAGATTTAAGCCAGATTGGAAGAATCTTCCTCAAAAATAATATTGTTTACTGTGTTTTCACAGAAACCAGAAATGGATTGTTTCTCAGAAGAAGGTCAGAAGTTAGACAAAGTCAAAGGTGACATTGAGTTCCATAATGTCACTTTCTCATACCCGTCTCGGCCTGAAGTCGAGGTACATTTCCTCCAATTGCATATCTTTGTATCCATTTCTCACTCCTGAAATATTCCCTTTTATAATGAGCCTTCTACTTTTCCAGATTTTAAATGACCTAAGCATGCAGGTCAAAGCAGGGGAAACCACGGCTTTTGTGGGTCCAAGTGGATCTGGAAAGAGCACCACAATCCAGCTTTTCCAAAGGTTTTATGACCCAAAGAGAGGAATGGTAAAAATCTGCCAACATCTGCACAAACACACAGGACACCAGTGGAGAGTTTGAAGGCTTCAGTCCAATGTAACATTTTCTATTCTCCTTCTCAGGTGACTTTGGACGGGCATGACATTCGTACTTTAAACACCCAGTGGCTCAGATCTCTCATTGGTATTGTAGAGCAGGAGCCAGCGCTGTTTGCGACAACCATCGCAGAAAACATCAAGTTTGGTCGACCTGGAGTAACCATGGAAGACATCATCCAGGCGACAAAAGAGGCTAATGCCTATAATTTTATCATGGCTCTTCCACAGGTACTAAGACACTTATTTAAAGATAATCCATCAGTTATAGATTATACAGTGAACTTGATCAGTTAAAAATAACCTCTTGCTGCTCGTCCACCAGAAATTTGCCACGATGGTGGGAGAAGGTGGAGGACAGATGAGTGGAGGACAGAAGCAGAGGATTGCTATCGCTCGAGCTTTGATCAGAAACCCCAGGATCCTGCTGCTCGATATGGCCACATCCGCCTTAGACAATGAGAGTGAGGCTGTTGTCCAGGAGGCATTGGATAAGGTAGGTTACTCTTTGGCTTTAGTCAACATAATTGAGTTCACTTCGACGATTAACCTCAGCAAAAAAATCATAATTTGTGGAATGACATTCTCAAAATGTGCAGGTGCGCATGGGCAGGACAACAATTTCTATAGCTCATCGTCTTTCCACGATAAAAAATGCCGACATCATCATTGGTTTTGAGCATGGACAGGCTGTGGAGAGAGGAACACACACTGAGCTAATAGAAAGGCAAGGTGTCTACTTTACCCTGGTCACCCTGCAGAGCCAAGGCACATCCAACAAAAGTAAAGGTAACGTTTTATTTAAGGCTGATATTCATTGAAGCTACTAATCATTATTGTTGTTCTGCCGGACGCTTTCATCCCAGGAGACGGTGGGCAGTCCTACACATTGTTTGAAGGCCTTTTAGTGTCTGCTTAAGAGCTAAATAATCGCCAATACTTTGACCTAAGCCTAATTGATTTGTTTTTTTCTTCTGTCAGATGCAAACAGTGAAGCTCATGAAGATGCCATTCATCTGAAAAGTTTGAGCCGCACATCAAGTCAAAGGTAAAGTCAATCCAGCTCAAAAAGATAAAATCAGGGGGAAAAAAACAAAATAACTTATAATGAAATGAAAATAATTCTTAAATGTACTACTCTAGGGGCTCTGTTCGAATGAGATCTGAAAGCAAATTGTCCATTCACGCATTATCAGAGAGCCTCAATATCCCCTCAGACTACGAGTTCATAACAGAAAAGGTACTGAGATTTACTTTCATGCCCTATAATACTGTACACTGACTTGATGTGGAAATAAATAGCTCCCATGTGTATTTTCAACAGGAATTGGAGGATGTTGCAGACGAACATGTAGAGCCTGCCCCCGTAGCACGTATCCTCAAATACAACAAACCAGAATGGCCCTACATGCTGATGGGCTCGATAGGAGCTGCTATCAATGGCTTTGTCACCCCTGTTTATGCTCTCCTGTTTAGCCAAATTCTTGGGGTAAGAATAGCGTATTTCACAAACTTAAATTCCTTTATGCTGTGTTTAACAAGCTGATGTAGTTGGCTGAACTGCAAATGACCTTTCTGATCTTTGTATTGCAGACATTTTCCATTGCTGACTTGAACCAACAGAGGGAACAAATCAACGGTATATGTGTTCTGTTTTGCATTGTGGCTGTGGCTAGTTTCTTCTCCCAGTTCCTACAGGTTTGTATTAGAATTTGCAACATAATTAAAACATTTACATTACATTTCAGTATACATCTTTTTACCAATGCGATATAGGAGTAAGCCCAACAGTATAATCCAGGGATGCACAATGTGGGTTTTTGTTGATTTTTATGTGCAAAAATGAACTGCAGCTATAATTCTTGCTGCACTATAGTCAGCAGTTTGTATCTCATGTGAATAATGTGGCCGATGCCCAAATTACATTTAAAAAAAAACGTATAGGTTGGCAATACCGATGACTGGCCATCAACATTGTGCATCCTGTACTGTACATGTAGTGTTGACTCTGATTTGTTGTTTAGGGATATTCTTTTGCTAAGTCTGGAGAGCTGCTGACCCGCCGTCTGAGGAAAGTGGGCTTCCAGGCCATGTTGCGTCAGGAGATTGGCTTTTTTGATGATCCCTCAAACAGCCCTGGAGCTCTGACCACCCGACTGGCCTCTGATGCATCCATGGTGCAGGGGGTAAGTGACGGATTTACATGCGTGTATCTATTTTTCTCATTATACAGTATATAATACAGAAAAGCAAATGGTTGGTGGTGTACTTTCAACACTGTTTTGCAAATTGCTTGTTTGACTTCTACAGGCAACAGGATCTCAGATCGGCATGATCGTGAGCTCGTTGACCTGCATTGGAGCGTCTTTCATCATTGCTTTTATCTATAGTTGGAAGTTAACTTTGGTTATTATGTGCTTCCTGCCTCTACTCGGATTGTCTGGAGCTTTCCAAGCCAAAATGCTGACAGGTTTTGCAAATGAAGATAGAGACTCCATGGAAGAAGCAGGCCAAGTAAGCTCGCCATCGAGCCCAAATGATCTATACACTGCCCTGAGAAACCAATGACTACAGTTAAAGATCATAACTTTGTCCCACAGGTATCCAGTGAGGCTCTTTCCAACATCAGGACGATTGCAGGCTTAAACAAAGAGACCTTTTTTGTGGAATCGTATGAGCAGAAACTGGAGCTTCCATTTAAATCTGCCATAAAGAAAGCCAACATCCATGGGCTTTGTTTTGGTTTTTCCAATTGTGTCCTCTTCATGGCATACGCTGCTTCCTTTAGATATGGAGGCTACCTGGTTAGCTCTGAGGGATTACTGTACACATATGTCTTCAGGTTGGTACAAATTATTTCTTTCAATGGGAAATCTGTATTTTTTTTAATTCCTTGTTTAAATGTACTGTATTTGGTGTTTTGTGATTACCAGGGTGATTCTGGCTGTAGTAATGAGTGGGACAGCAATGGGCAAAGCTTCCTCCTTCACTCCAGATTACGCCAAGGCCAAAATAGCTGCTGCTCAGTTTTTCAAACTATTGGACAGAATTCCCAAAATCAGCACAAGCCATGCAGTTGGAGAGAAATGGGTTGGCGAATTCAATAATTAAGACATCAGAATGGGATGCCATGTTGTGATGATGTTAACTTGAGATGATTAATCCCATTTGTTCATATTTAGGATAACTTCAAAGGTGAAATACAGTTCCTTAATTGTAACTTCACCTATCCAACTCGACCAGATGTGCAAGTGTTGAACGGCCTGGTTGTGTCTGTGAAGCCTGGTCAGACTTTGGCGTTTGTTGGAAGCAGCGGCTGTGGAAAAAGCACCAGTGTTCAACTGTTGGAAAGGTTTTATGACCCTGATCAAGGGCGTGTGGTATGTTAACCATTTCAGACATTCATTTTACTAATCACAAAATGAGTTTATCCAAACCAAAGTCCTAATTATGTCATATTTCATTTTCAGTTGATTGATGGCCGCCCATCTCAAAATGTCAATGTGCCCTTCCTAAGATCCCAGATTGGCATAGTGTCCCAGGAGCCAGTTTTGTTTGACTGCAGCATAGCGGAGAATATTCAATACGGAAATAACACATGCAGTGTCAGCATGGAAGAGATTGTTGAGGCTTCTAAGAAAGCCTACCTTCATGACTTTGTGATGACGCTACCACAAGTAAGTTGTTAAAGTCTGGTAATGTAAGATGGGTGCTAAAATGGAGCCTTTAGGACAGAGTATACTCAGTCAGACAGTATGAAAAAATGAATAGGCTAAAAATGTTTTATAACGTTGAAGCATGTAAACGTCTTCAATTATGAAATTAGGGATCACAATGAGCACAATATATCCATTTTAAATCTCAACTGTCGCCCTAATCTGAAGCATGGATGCAGGACTTGAATGTATGTGACTTTGTCGGATTTGTCACCCAACTAGAAAGTCAAGTTTACGCAAAATTGTAACAATTGAAACCATTTTTATTTTAGTTGTACATTTTGACCAGAATGTTTACTTTGTGACCTTTTGCTCTCCCCACTTTTCTCAACACATATACAAATCTTAAGAAATATGAGACTCAGGTTGGTACCCAGGGCTCCCAGTTGTCAAGAGGACAAAAACAACGCATCGCCATAGCCAGGGCCATCGTCAGAAACCCAAAGATCCTGCTACTAGATGAAGCTACATCTGCCCTGGACACAGAGAGTGAACAGGTAACACAATTATAAACAACATTTAAACTCATGAACACAAAGCAAGGTGTTCCCTTGTATGAGTATTTATTTGTGTGATCTAAATCTTCACATACTTGCATAAGGGTTCCTGACTAAGCTCTGTTTTCATGCAGATTGTGCAGTCTGCCCTGGATGAGGCGAGAAAAGGACGAACCTGCATCGTCATCGCTCACCGGCTGTCTACTATACAGTCTGCGGACATCATAGCAGTGATGTCTAATGGTGCCGTGATAGAACAAGGCACACATGATACTCTCATGGCCAAGAAGGGCGCCTATTTTAATCTGGTCACAACAGGTGCTCCTATCAGCTAGACAGACAGAAGGATGAGCGTATGACGACAATTATTTTGAATGGGTGTTATAGTACAAGAAGACTTTTTTTCATTTGGCAGGTATAGAATATAAATATTTGAATAATTCGTTTTAGTGATCTTGTAGTTTATTATTGAAACATGTAAAAATTGAAATAAAAATATTTAAAGTAATTTTTTTGTTTACAAGTCGTTTCTTTATACAAAAAGAATATGGTTCTGTTATAGCATGATAAAGTGGCCTTAAATATAATTATGATATCCTGCTCTGTGTTGAAAACTACCAAATTCTAATCTGTGTAGCCTGAGTTATTTTATTTCAACCGCAGCACCGATGCATTGTTTTGAAGTAAGCTAGAATGCAAAGTTGAATAAGATACATATATATATAACACGTTTAAATATAGACATGGTAATTTTTGTTGTCTAAAATAGACATCAAAAGTGACATGAATTAAAATATTATCCTCAGAGTTGAAAATAAGATTGAACCAGTCACCAATAACAGTTTCATCCTGGTTTTCACATTTTGGCTGAGAAGGAACCACGGGGAAATAATCAGAAACAAATGATACGAGGGTCTCCCACAGTTGACATGAAGTTGAGAACGTTGTGGTATTTCCTGTAGAAGCTCTGATGGTGCAAACATATATAAACAGGGAACCACTGCTGTAGATACAATCCATCTGAGGTTCCCTGTCTGTGTGCCTGGGCTGCTTCTTCTGCACCTGTCAAAGCACAATCTGAAGCGAAGACAGCTTTATATCTCTACCTGGGATCATAAATATTTCAACGGAGCCATGGTAACAACAGAAAGATATTCAGTTTGACCCCACTATGAATTAAATAATGGGATCCCAAGTAGTGCCCCCAGTAGCCCACTGGATCTCTTCAGCCTCATTAAAATCCCCTTCTCAGTGAATGTAGCAATAACAAGGGTTTACTAAAGTCCACCTGCCATCCAGAGTTATAGCCTGTACCTGCTCTATGTTTCTCTCCATTTATACCCACATTCATCATTGTAAGAGCATTTTTATTTACCTAATTAGCAATAGCCATGTTTTGGTAACAGTATTTTAAACAGTTTGTTGGGTAGTTTTGGCCCACCTGAACTTCCCCAGTTTCACCACAAGGTGGTGTAAAATCACAATAAAGACATAAATGATGCATTCTCCTCTGGCGTTATTTAAATGTTAAGCAAGAAATAACAAATTCCTACGGTATCCACCTTTATTGGTCAGTAACGGAATAGAAAGCATTCAGTTGCAAAAAAATTCAAAAATGTAATACATTTTTTTCGTTGTTTGAAAGCGGAAGAAAAATAAACTGGACGCTACTTCCGGTGTTGAGTCCCCGCCCACTCCTGTGTGTCGAGCGCGGATTTTTGAAAATAACGACTGGTTCAGTAGCGTAAACAAACAAGTAGGATCTTCTGCTGCTCATGTACACATGTGAGTAACACCACTGACACCAAACCATTATTAATAGGTCTGTTGCTTTATTTTCTGCTTAGACAAGTTAACCAACGTAAGTTCTTTGCAAGCTCACTAACCGCTAATGTTTCCTAGCTAACGTTAGCCTTCCAGTTATGCTGATACTTGAACGTTAACCACTCAGTTTAAGGTTAGGTATTATCGGTCACTCATGAATGAGTTACAGGCTCATGTTAGACCTGTTTTTTAGCATGGCACACCGTAACTAGTAAATCAACGTTATGGAAATGCAGAGGTGGAAGATGTACTCAGATCTTGTACTTAAGTAAAAGTAGGAATACCAGAGTGTAGGAATACTCTGTTACAAGTTAAAGTACTATATTCAAAATGTGACTCAAGTAAAAGTATTAGCATCAAAATATACGTAAAGTACCAAGTAGTCTTGTTCTTCACTCGGTTGTCCGTCAAGTAGATGGCTCTGTTGACATTGCATCTCAGTTCGTGAGGAGTCATCTGCTCTTATTTTAGTTTTTATTTACTTTTAGCAATGCCTTATACATTTATACAAACATAGAGTCTCATAGGTAGATATGTATAGCAGTGCGTTGGCGTATTGATGTGTGCCAATACTTGATAGGTGCTTTCATATGAACATTTATGGTGGTATTTACAGTAGGCAGTGGTGTAAAGTAACTACCGGTAAGTAAGTACATTTGCTCGAGTACTGTACTTAAGTGAGTATTTGATTTCATTTTCCTGCTACTTTGTACTTTTACTCCACTACATTTATTGAATACCTTTAGTTACAGATTTGGATTAATGATGTGATATATATTACACTCTTAAATAATACTGTAGTTAAACCTGGAGTAAATTTACAAGCTACCCTGCAAAGTCATTCAAACTAAATGCACCTTTACCAGCTTTGATAAAACTTTAATGCATCAATAATTATAATCAATACATATAATATATATTATTTTGAAATGGACCGATCTGCATAATGAGTACTTTTATTTTTGGTACTTTTAAGTACTTTTGATGCTTATACTTATGTAATTTTACTTGAGTAATAGTTTGAATGCAGGACTTTCACTTGTCACAGAGTATTCTTACACTCTGGTACTTTTACTTAAGTACAAGATCTGAGTACTTCTTCCACCTCTGACAGTAAGTGAGGTAAATTGCATTTAGGCTGCATCACTGGTCCCTTTTGTATTTGCTTCTCAGCTTTAGTCTTAACTTTATTATTATTATCCAGGAGATTTAGTTGACAGCCAGATATTAAAGTTATACACATCCTTTATAAAATGTGCAGTACATAATAATTGTGTTATTTGCGTGCACATAGTTAGCATTATGCTGTTTGTTGTTGTTTTCATTGCAGATTGTGAACATCATGATGTCCATTACTGATCCAAACATGAGTGACGGCTTCACCAGTGCCATGGAGGAGATCCACAACGAACAGCTGAAGACGTGCGGGGAGATCTTCGACCAGACGACAGAGCTGTGCCAGTCCCACAGAGAGTTTGTGAAGTCTGCAGTAGGTATGTCTGACATCTTGTTTATTGGCATCTCCATTAGTTGTTGGCCTGCCAATAATAACTATTCCTGGGGTTTATATTGAAAATGAATCAAATTGAAATGTTATAGTCAGTAATGTTTGCAGTCCACGCTGTAAACGATATAGTTTCAACATTGCTTCTAACAATAAAATGACGTCAAGCTGACCCTTAACGTTTTCTTTGTATTTGTTTTGCAGATACGTGTTTAAAGAAGTGTAAGGATGATGAGATGCTGTTTGAGACAATACAAACATTCAAAAGAGGTGAGTTGATGCATTAAACCACAAAGCATTGATAATCTGGCTTACATTCAGTCCAAGATGTGTGTTTATATGATTATAACATTGTAGAAATTATCAATATTGACCAATGCCATCGTTATTTTTGTTCTAGTACTTTAACTGTTTTATGTGCTTAATAATTCTTCATTTTCTGATACACACTATGGCAACATTTTGTAATGCAGCTTCAAGGGCTACAGTTTTATGATGAAAACGTACTTTGACTGATGCAATGTTTGTCCTCCAGACTTGGTACAAACAAGTGCATCATTAAAAGCGAAAAGGCATGCCATTTCTGAAATGATATCCGAGATTGAGCAGAAGGAGATGCAGAAAGAAGACATCATCCAGAAGATAGAGAAACTTAAAGAAGAACAATTCAAGAGAAAAGAGTGTAAGTCTATATTTTGTATGGTGTAGATCTCATAACTTGATTTGCAATTTTAGCCTTAGGTTATTTTAGTAACAGAACCATTGACTTTTTTTTCTTCCAGTAATTCTGTCTCAACACAAGGCAAACAAAGACAGACTGAAGTATCTCAAGAAAGCCAGAGGGGTCTTTCAAGATCATTTGGCGATGGAGATACGAACAATCTCTGGCAAAACACAACTGGTTAAAGGTAGGCCAAGTGTGCAATTTCCATTATCAATAACTGTCTGTATTCATCAATTATTACACATACCAGTAATTGCTTGTGTCAGGTAATACCCCGACTGTCTTCAGTGGCACTCACTGTGTCTTCAGAATATAACAGAATATGTTTGTTGTCTTTGTAAAGGTGAAAAGCTGCAGTTTGTTTTCCGGAATATCAACCCTTCAGATCTGAACAGCGCTTACATTGTCACATTGGGCATCAATCAAGACAGATCATACCAGAGTAAGTAATGCACGCATACTTGCATAAGAAAACTATACTTGCATAAAATATATATCTGACAATATATTTTATTTTGTGTTATTGTGTGGACAAATAATACTCATAAGAAGTGCCTGAGTAGCCAATGCCTCATGAAGCTAATCCCCCTGTGCCATATATAGCTCAATTGTTCTCCAAAACTCAAATTTGAAAATATAAATGTGTCACACATCAGCTGTTGCACTAGCTAATGTGTTCTCCCATTCCCATGACAACGACCACTGTCATTTATTTTGAGTCTGTGATATACACTGTCCTGCTGCAGTATATACACACTACACCACTAACTTTGAATTAATCCCAAAAAGTTGCATTCAAATGCAGTCTTTACTCCCATTTGCTTAAAATTACATTCCCCAGCTGGTTTCTATGAAATCATTCATAATACAAATATATTTAAGACCAGTTTTAATACATTTTGTTGTCAGTAGGAAGTAATGGACATGGGGGTGAGTACAACAGACAGCGTAGAGTAGTAATAATCTAATGAAGTGGATTAATGCAATGCTGGTTCAGTATTCTTATGGGATTTATTGACAATATAAACATAACATATATCATCAGTTTTATCCTCCAACCACCATTGTAGATGTCTTCTATAATAAAGTCTTCTGTTTCTCCAGTTGTTTCCAGTGACCCTGTGCTCGGGTGTTTGCCAGTCCTGGAGAGCCAGCTTCAGAAGACCAATAAGTTTCCAACATTTCTGGCTAGCGTCAGAAAGGAGTTCATTTCTCAGGCACGCCGCTGAGATTGGAAGGATGGGAGAAAGATATAGCATGCGATGTGGACTAATGTTGATCAAAGCTTTCAGCCTGTATCTACAGTACAGATCTGCGAACAAGGCTTCAATTGCTTTGACAAATAGGGGTTTAATATACATTTCTGTGGGTAACAATTCAAATGCTATATTAGAAACATCTGGACTTATGTCTGGGTAATGTCTCATCACAAATGTCTTGTTTCATCATTGAGCATGGACTTGTAAACATTTTAGTGGAAACCTCTATCTAAATCTTAAAAATTCATCATTCACATATTGGGTCAAAAGCTTTCATTTGTTTCTTCCTTTTCAATTCAATTTAAAGTAGATGGGGATAATCCTAACTTTAATAACTCTCCCTTGCTTAATTTTTCCTTAATCATATACAAATATTTATCAAACATTTGCTATAGTTAAGTTAATCTGTACACAATGCGCATACATAATGGTGAACATTATTATTTAGGTGGTAAATTCACAGATGCATACAGCATTATAAAATAACTCCAGGGAGAGCAGAGACAAAAAGTATAAAGGAATGTATAGACATTTTAATGAATGCTTTATTTGTTATTAAACATTTGAGTATATATATATAGTAGTATAGTGTCAGAACAAACACAACTTGTAGTTTTAGTTGGTACGAGTCTTTCAGTTGTTGCCATTACATTTTCATCACTGCAGAAGTGAATCTCTTTGATTCAGGGTGTTTTTGAATATGAGTTGTCAGGCATCCGATGACTTGATGCTGCTTAACACAGGCAGCTCCTCCACATACGTCGATGGGAAATGACCTGTCTTCCCATCAAGTTTGCCAAACCACCAACCATTCTCTTCCTTTCCACAAATGTCTAGAAGATCTCCTGTGACCAAAACATTTTTACAAGATTAGAAACCTCTACTGTTTTTGGATTTCTTTCTGCACTTACATTGTTACTTACCCTCCTTCAGAGTCAATTCATCATCCTGTTCAGGTGTGAAGTCGTACAGGGCCTTGCATTTTCCTATGCTGCACAGCTCTGGTGTTATTTGACCTGTTTAATGTTGATAATTGTATTACTTTACTTTATTAACTTTTTAAATATGCTGAATAAAAAATCAATCTTTGTGTTACTCTGAAAATGTCTTACCTTGTTCTTTGTCATCATTGGTGTGAGGCAAGGCTCCATTAACAGTGCTGTCACACTCTGCAGCCTTGTGTGTTATGGAAGTGACTTGTTCCACAGACGGCTGTGTCACAAACTCAGTCGGCCCTTTGTAAATGATGGAAGCTCTCAGGGACTGTCGGGACCTGAAGGGAGTCCTGCGGAGCTTCACTGGACGAGTCAGTTGAACAACGCTGTGCTCACAGTCCTTAAACAGACAAGCAGTGTGTGTTTAATAATTACGAGGCTCTACAGATAACGGATGTATGCCGTACAAACACGCGCTCTAACACTGGAAATCCCAGGATTAATATGTTTGGAAAAAATATCCATGTTGTGTTATTAATAGTTTGAGACACCATTCATTTTAAAAATAGAATTCATGCAACCAAAAAGGTTGGGAATCCCCTTTTGTTATGTCTGTTTAATAATGTCACCATTAAAGTCGCCCACGCAGTCCTTACCTAAACAGTTATAACTCAATAACCACTAAAAGGCTGCGTCAAATGGAACTTTTTCATACTATTCTTTAATCCAAGGAAAGTCATTTTAATGGGTCTGCTTTTAATCCTAGATACACTTCTGAAATATGTTAAGGAAAACCTAAATGTCGTTTCTTCCCAGTTAGTTTTGAGCATTCAAACCAGTGACATTTCAATAAGAAACCTCCTTAAACCACTCCCATGTCCTGAAGATGACGCATGTCTTACCTTATCTTTCCATTTCACAATGCTGTCACTGAATCGATGAAAGGATTTAGCCTTGCCCTCCAACTCGCACAGTGACACAGAGAGTTTGCAGTGAGTGGCCTCGAGGAGATCCAGTTTTAAGGTACTCTACAAGCAACAATATGACATGAGTGCACAGTAGTAATCAATTTGAAGTGAATGTCCCTCTGTCCATTACACACATTGTTTACCTCATCAATCTGCTGCTCAGTCTCCTCCAGGTTCTTTTGGTTTGAGAAAGATGGATTTGCAGAATACGTTCTCATCAGTTTTTCAATTCCTGCAACGACAATATTGACAGAGACTTAATGAATGACCTCACATGGTACTGTCCATTTTAAATCAGTGCATTGATTTATAAAGGACATTCACCAGGTTATATTGTGTATTTAAATGAACTATTTAGTGAGTAATGCGCTGAACTTGCCTTCCCGGTCTTTCTTTGTCTTTGTAATACTGGCCTCAAGACGCTGGACTTTGAGTTTGATGGCTTCTTTTCTTCGGTCTTTGGCCATCAGTGACTTGCTGTCCTCCTCCTGTTTCACCCAGAACACAGATCAGTAACAATGATGGTCGTGGGTAAAATCTACTGTTGACACTACACAGTATGTGTTTGTGCTGTGGATATTTCAAACATGCTACTGCCTTTACTGCACAGTTATACAACCTTCCACTAAAGCAGGTTAATCCCATTGGGATGTCGATCATATTTTCAAAGACCTGAGCACGACCTAACAACTACATAATTAGAAATGTAAACATGACAAAATGTAACAAAAAGCAGAACATATACATTGGAGCACCGCCTTCATGTTAGGCCCTGTCACAAAACGATAAATACTTCTGGGGCTTGCCCGCCCCTATCAAAAAGAGACCCCCTGCGGAGATGACTAAGCGTGTCTTTGAATGGGTGAGTCACTGAATGAGTCTGACTGGCATACCAGCTTTCTAAAAGAAAACAAAAAAAAACACACTTACAAAATAATCAGCCACCAAAAACTCTGCTTTGTGATCTTCTGCTGTGATGCTGTTTTCCGCCAGCAGGGTTTGTATGTCTTTGTCCATGTCCACCCTTTGCACTGTCTGTTCTATCTTTTTTTGGGCCTGGAATATATAAATTATAACATTAATTTAAGGAATAACTGCATACTTATGAGCAGGATGGAGTTCAGGGCTGCCTTACGTGTTGGAGGGTTTGCCCAAAGCTGGACATGTGGAGGTTGTATCTATTCAATATGTTGAAGAGAACTTCAATCCGCTGTTTCTCCAGCTCCTGTATGATCTGAAAAAGCAGAAAATAACATTGTGACGCTTTTGGTGCAGCACATTCAATCCCTATTGAGTCTTGTCCTTGTCATATATTCTGTGTAGCATGTATTATCCCAACATATCACCTCCAGTGGAATGAAGACCATCTAAACCTGAGGTAAACGTTGAATATAAAGGAAAACAAGGTCATAGTGAGTGCTGCATGTACAGTAACCGAAGGCTGCTGTTCTCTGTTGCATGCTAATAAAATGTGTGTACCTCAGAGAAAACCGAATGAAATAAAATGCTGAAAACACTGGGCAGATATTTGGCGTACCTATATAATTGACTGACCTAGTGCTTGTAGAGAATTTTCTGCAGCAAAAAGGTCACTGCTTCAGCTCTTGTCAAAATGGAGTGTCCTTAAACAAGGATTGACCCTATCTGTTCACTAGGAAAAACAGCTACATGCCTACAGTATGAGAAGCGGGAGAGCATGTTTTCCGCACCTGGTGGCAGTTTTTCAGTGTGTTTTCCCACTTGAGCCTCATCTGATGACCCTCCATGTTGATGTTAAAGTACTCATCATCCACCCGCGCCTGTAACTCTGCCGATTTAGTCAGCCTGTTCAGCATCTGTGGTCAAGAACAAGGGGAAACTCTTTTAGCAAAACATGAGAGGGAAATGTAATGTATGTAGTGGTGAAAAATGTGTTTGGTAGCCATACAATTAACCTTTTGTTTTTCTTTTTCTGTGCAGATTTGTCTGTTGTTCTCAACAAAGTTGAACAGAGCCTCATGCTCTCTTGTTAGTCCAACCAATTTCTTCTTTATCTGTTTCAGAAGAGAAGAAATCCACACAAAACGGTAAACATTGAATGAGCAGTTTACTACACCATGTGTGAGAGAAGCAGGGTCAATCTCTTTAAAGCAACTCTAGAACACCAGGTTTATAATCTATTTGTATTTTCCAATTAATGCACAGGGCATTTTAGATACTTTTAAAAAAGGAACACCAAAGTTCACATTGTTTTCCAACATAAGCTGTGTACAGAACCCTCATCTGTAAAAGTTACATAATCCATTATAACACAGTCATACTTCAGTTTAACAAATGCTATCAACCTTATGATATCGGGTGTGTCATAGCAACAACTAACTGTTTTTTATAATACATCATAAATTCAAAGATAACAGTCAATCATCATTAAATATCCCATTTTGCAAGATGGGTTTTAAAGGTCAAATGAATATTATGTTTCTGTTCTGTCAGCTTACCAAAGAATTGGTTATGGTTGTTCATACTTTTTGTTACAGTCATGACCTTTTGACTGATAAGAAACTATAATCCTTGAATATGTGATGCACTGTGATCCTACTTGTAATGGCTCATAACAGTTTTAACACATTATAATGCATTATTAATAATGATCACGTCAGAAATGCATTGTGCATGCATTGTTATGCAATATGCAGTTCAAGCATATTAAATATACGGTAAAGGCTTTACTATGAAGTCTATATTATATAGTCTACTATAACATAATAGCTGACAGTCACGCAAAAGTTTTTATGGGTTAAGCATTTATGGATCAGCATGTTGTTAACAATGGTCAATGCAGCAGCTCCATCATAGCTAATGCATATTTCTGCATTTTCCTTTACCTTAAGTTGTTCACTCCAATTGGCAGTAAAAAGTTTCCCAGTTCTTTCAATGGCACTGTCAAGCTATGAAAGCACATAAAAGGTTAAAGACACGCTATATCTTGGAGCTTGCACAGACAGATTTAATGATACAAAAATGCAGAAGATTCTCCATACAGGTCTCTTCCTCTTATTATGCTCGTCTAAGACTTGTCGTATTTCCAGAATTGCTTCTTGCTGAAATGCATTTCCTAGTGACCTGAAAAGAAAACACTGTGTTTAACTCAAATCTTTGGTTTGATCTGTGGACAGACACGGTTGTGAAGTGAACTTGGGTTGAAACCTACCTGTGGGCATCTGCTCTTGAGTACATCTCATCCGACACATGACACCAGGCACTGTAGGTGGAACTGAGTGGGGAACCAGCATGAATAGGTTAGAGCTGTGGGCTCATAAACGTCATCTGTTTGTGTTTTGATCACACCTATCTTGCTAGGCGCATGTTCCCACGATATCAGGAAGAGGTCATGTTAAACACAATAGACAAAAGACAGAACCATTTAAAATATGCTCCTTACTTGTTTGACATTCCTTTGGAGGCCCTGATGAGTTTGCCAGCAAGTTTTTGTAGTCCTTTGGAATAAGTAAGTTCCAGCTCTGCCCTAAAACAATAAAGGGTTGCAGAAAGTGACAAAAGCTGAGTCAAAGTGTAACTCCTGTCGTCTTTACAAGTTCATCTGAAGGACATAGCTGTACTGAACCTACCTTTGCTGGAAAACTGTCATAAGTTCTCTGCAGAAGTACTCCCCGGATTTTGAAAACCGTTTCACATTTTGATAGAGTTGGTTATACTGAAAGACAGAATTAGCCTCTGTGATATGTTTGCCACATGTAGCAAACATGGCCTAAATCAACTGAGTTAAAAAACGAAACAAAACTAAGTTGTACATTAAATACACATTGAAATCATATTTTAACTCCAGTGCGTTGTGGAGGTAACCTGTACTTTTTCAAGATAAACTTACCGAGCAGGTGCTGATAGGGTCCTTCATCTTAAGACTGTAGCAGTTTGTTGACTTTGGACCGGGAACTTTGACCACCCTCCTCCTAAACTCACTCATGCGGAAATCACCTGAGCTTTTGTCAGTGCTTTATAGAAAGGAACATTCCAGTGAGAGGAAAAAAAGAAACTACAAATGTCAACTCAAGCAGGATGGCAGGTCAGTGTGGAGTAGATATAAATAAAGGAAAAGATAAACACAAAACAAAGGTCAATTCATGCGCTTATATTTTCATGTTGAATAAAAGCACACTGACCTGGTTCCAAGCAGCAATACATGTTGACATTAAAATAACCTTTAAAATGGGTATGGGAAACTTGTTGGCAAGCATTTGCTTGTAAAGGCAACCAGGTGACATTGAAGAACATTAGTGTTCACCATTTGTAGTTTATTTTACATGCTGAATGAAAGTCTAATTTTAACTTTATTTAAACCAGTCTGGGTTACACCATCCCCTTGGGAAAATATCTCAATATCTAGCAGCTAAATGCTTGTGAGACTGACCGTTGAGCGGCCCGACCAAGGAGGCAGAGGCAGAGAGTTCAAATATAACCCGGTGTGGGCATTTATTACTCCTTGTGGTACATGACACAGCCTCAATCTTACTGTCTCATGTGAACACAGTCACCAGCAACAAGGATCTCACACACACAAACAGGAAACACAGAGCCTAAATACCCACAGACTAATCAACCAACAAGACACAGGTGAGGGGGGAGGAGACAACACAGGGCACCAGGTGAACACAATCAACAACAATGAAGCTATACAACCCGTAACGGAGGCCGAGATCTATGGGCCCAGAGATCACCTCCGTGACAATGCTCCATAATAATATTACTGTGTCTGAAACAACACATTGATTGCTTTAAAGGTGGGGTAGGTAAGTTTGAGAAACCGGCTCGAGATACACTTTTTGTTATATTCCATGAAATGCTCTTAACATCCCGATAGCAATGAATATCTTAAGTGCTTTGACAAAAAATCCATTAAAAAATGTCATCTGTGGAAGCCGTAGTAAAAAGCACGACCAATCATCTGACCTGGCCCGGCTAAAATAACTGGATGGCCTACCTGCCTGTCAGCCTTCCATCTGTGCACAAACTTATCTCGTGCCCTCATTGGTCATGTGTGCGTTCGTGTGTGTTGGAGGAGGGGCTCTGTAAGGAAGTGGCAGATTTTATCCGGCTGTGTATTTTCAAATTCTAGCGCACTCGAGCTGGTTTCTCCAAAATTACCTACCCCACCTTTAACTGAACAAAACCAAAAGTTGTTGGTAGACAAACGTAGACAAACAGAAACTAGTAGCAGAAAGACACTAAAATGGTTGGTAGAGCTCAGGGGAACTGCAGAGGCAAGGATTTGTCGGTAAGTCATATGTTGCGAGTATAAAAATATTATTTGATCCCTCGTCATTATTTATGGGAGAATGATCATATTTAATTCATTTTAAAATTCAAATTCACCCTCAGGGTTTCATAAACAGTGTTTCTTTACAATTATTGAACAAACTCAAACACATTTGCAATCTTCATGTTTTTTTTAATTGAATAACTCAAACAACTCATGTCTGCCTCCTAAGAGGACAAATGGCCTTTCATGAAATGCTTACCAGAAATGTATCAGAATACTTAACAAAATGCTTTAATAGGAAAAACAGCATCTAGCCATATCTGATGCACACACATAATACTGTTTTTGACATCTCATATACAGTTTAGTGAAGAATGTGTTTTAAAATGTGAGCATCTCACACATTTTGGCATATCTTTGGGGGTGTAGCTTTAAAAGTAAACCCAGGTCTTTAGCATTTTGCTAATACTCGTCATGATGTGTGGTATGAAAAACAGCCGTATCATTCAAGACTATTTTATCTTTAACACTAAACGTCAAAGTAAAATAGATGCATCACCATCTGCAAATATATTTATAAGAAATAAATAACATCAAAAGACAAAACATAAGAAAAAACACACCCCCAGTATGCCAGACTACTGTATGTTAAAGTAGCATGCTTACACCATTAAGTGAAATGCTTTTATTCATTGGCTAAACAAAGAGTGGGTTGTACCGAAAGGAGTGCTTTGATATTTCACTGAGTGCAGTTTGATGCAAATATATAGATTGAGCAAGGAAATGAGTAAAGAATGAAATTGATAACAAAACTGCATTCACTTCCAGTACCAGACAGGCAATGTTGTTCATGTCCACACACACACACACACACACACACACACACACACACACACACACACACACACACACACACACACACACACACACACACACACACACACACACACACACACACACACACCACACACACACACACACACACACACACACACACACACACACACACACCACACACACACACACACACACACACACACACACACACACACACACACACACACACACACACACACACACACACACACACACACACACACACACACACACACACACACACACACACACACACAGGTTGATGGATGGTGTCTGTAGCATGGCTCCAGTGTTGTGATATCAGATTGGTCAGTGTTCGTCGGGATATGTGGCCCCTGTCAGGTAGCCGTTGGTCCCGTGATTTTTGTTGGTCCCGTTGGCGGTGCCGCTGCTGCTGTGTTGTTTGTGATTGGCTGGGGGAGTTTCCTCCTCATCAGAGCTGGACTCGATGTCGCTGCGGTCGTCTTTAGACACCTGCAGAAATAACAGGGGGTTATTGGAGATTAGATTTTTCTCATTAAAATTCCTTTCTGTGTCAGCATCTGCAGCAGCCATGTGTGGCGGTAGTACAAATGGGCCTTTGTGTGTCCAACCAGTAGGTGTTGTGCCAATCAATATCAGGCTACACGCTGTAAAAGCCATGCTAAGAGACCTCTGAAACATGACATTATTGTGGCTGCAACTTTATTGATCAATCTTGCAGTTGTTATTCCAAATGATTGCTTTATGTTGTGTTTTTTAAAGGGTATTTTTAACTGATATCCTCTTTGTTGATTGCACTTATTTAACGTTGCCTTGGATAACATTTTCACCAAAATTAAATGTAATCTTGTTTTATGTCAGAAAATAATCAACATTATTATAATCACAATTTCCCAGCATCTGACTGTTTTTTTTAAGTTGAAATCCTTAACATAAATACATTACATATACATTTAAATAAAAGAGAGAGGCAGCAAAACCTCAAATCTTTTCAGAAAATGTCTGGCAATTTGGCTAGATAAATAGATGAATTTATATAGTTGTTGTTGATTAAAAAATATAATCATTAGCATTGACATTATATCATTAACCTCCAACTAGTAGATGCTGGGATTTACCCCCAATAAGTGAACATTTGACCTGCTAGTTGCACTAGATAAAAGGGGGAAAGTGAATATCTGTGCAAAATGTTATAGTAATATGTAAAATATTTAGTAAGATCTTTCAGTCCTGAACAGCGTCGTGGAACTGACAAATGCACATTAACATACCTGAAGCTAGGCTGCAAGCATATGCAATGATTAGATAAAAAAACTGACAGAATCATGATTTATGAAACCAATACATGGCTGCCCAAGACATGAAATTAATCTAAGCACACAGTACAACAATGTATACGTGATGTTCCCTTTTGAGGCTACTTACATGCAACGGATTCCATTTTCCCACCTTGGCGGATGCAGGTAAGCAGAAAGAATAGAAAGGGACAGTCAAAAGTGGCTATTGACAACACTACACAGTATTTATTTATGAACTCGCAGCAAAACAGCCTATTATGCAACAACAGGTATAAGTGGAAAGATTATGCAGAGGGGCTTGAAAGAGGAGCCGAGTGTAATGACTCACCTTCCCTTTGGAGATGGCTCGACACGCTGTCTTCACTATGAGGTAGGACCAGAAGGAGTGAAGCAACTGCAGCGAGATCAGAAGCAGGTTGAAGACCCACCATGACGGGTAGGGCCCTACAATCTCCCAACTCTCGAACAAGGTGGTATTTAAAATCCTTCCATGGCAACAGAGGGAGAGGGAGATAATTAACTTGATGAGTTCAATTAGAAACACAGAAGGGGGTAAAAGTGCTTTCTCTTAACAGGGTAATTATAGTCTGTGCTGAGGAGCAGGTAAACAAACAGAAATGTGTGTGTTCGTTAACAAATCTGTGCAAGTGGTTTATAGTCCAATTCATGGAACAAATCTAAATGTAATTTAAATTACTAATTGATTTAAAAATCAGAAGCCTGGTTAAATATATCCCTGAGACAATTCCTGCAAATGACTGTCTGTGAATCATCCTCTAGATACTGAAGCCATGGCAACAGCTTTACAGTAATGACAACTTTACTATCGGTGTGATGGGGGCTCACTGAAACGTAGTGTAGCATAGAGTGAAACACAGGTGTGGAGCTGTGGGGTGTTGGCTAAACCTGTTTTAAGGATGTTTGAATTATACTAATTACAAGCACCTGTATTTCAGATAAACCTGAATTATTGACAATAAACTTGAATCTAAATGCCTTAAATATAATTTTTGTGCTGATCGAAAATCAATGGTATATCAAGGAAAGCAGACACCTGCAGGCGTGTTTTCACACTAAAGGTGTGATAACACTGCTGCTGATGGCTTTAAGATCACTGCTGTGCACACTTTCAAGGACTAAGACTGATTTGTGTTAAGAAATAACATAAAACCCTGAAAGAAAATAAATGTAAAGCAGCATCACAAAATGCTGAAAGATCCTTATCAGAAATAAAACCCTTTGATGTTTTAACAATAAGATGAAAACCATAATGTGTTGCTTTTCATTTGCCGTTTCCTTTGGCTTTCTTCAAGGGGTTCAAGCTGCTGTATCCATAGTAACTATTACTTAGCAACAACATTCACAGAGTGTGTCTGCAAACCGTTGTGGAGAAAGTAGTTGAAAAAGCACTGAAATCTTTGTGGCATTGACAAGTTACATTGGGGATGCCAAAAGTATCTGTGCTGCCCATGTGTTTAGGCCTCTGACGGTGACTGTATTATAAATGACAGGCTAACATTATTTCAGTGAAGTCGGACTTCAGAAAGATGCTAACCATGACACACATATACAGAATTGCACTTACCAAACAGGATACACTGCCAGTCTGGAGCTTATGAAGATAATTGCAAACATTGCAAACAAGAGGTTGCACAGTATCTGACATTTGGCATAGTTTGCCATTTTGGCAGCCTTTGTAGAAAAAGAAAAGAACCAATCATTAATCTTGAGAACAACTGCTTGAAATATCTCTCAAAGTATTTATAAAATGAATATCTTTGAAATATCTAAAAAAAGATTTTAAATGGTCTCCAACGAAGAGCATGCACCGTGCCTGTATGATTAAGTGTTTCATAATGTACATGATATTAGACTGCAGTTGAGTTTAGATAAAGTCACACACCCAACCATGGCCAAATTCTCCATCCACAGGCTTTTTTTTTTCTCACCCATCCTCACCTCTATTAGCACGTCGGCTGCATCGTGGAGACACATGACCAGCGCTCCCACTCGGGCCATGTTGTTCACGTAGGAAAAGGTGATGAGGGAGATTGTTGCAACATGGTGCAGGAACATGATCAGGAAATCCTAGGGACAAAGTTATCAAGGAAATGTCACACAACTAGAGTAAGCACTGCCTCGTGGCTGTTTGAGTCACTGCATGCGGTTCATACTCATAGCATCTAGTGCAGTTCAGACGTGTCATGAGTCAGACGGACATGACTGCACACACCATAGCAGTTTGTTATTGCAGTAATACATAATAGTTTGTACTTAAAAACGGCCAGGCAACTTCTGACGACTGAATACTGAGTAACGGCCGCATTGTGTGTACGTCATGATTGTGGATCAATGTCTTTTAAAATAAAACCTTTGTCTTGGTGAACCGTGTTCGTCATGTACAACTGGGATTGGCACAGCGCTTTAAAAAAGATATTAACAGTAATGATAAGCCAATGATTAATACCCACAAAACAAACATAGCAAACACGCCCTCAGTGTCAGAGGAATGACGAACACTCTGTGGTGATGCAAGTGTGTGGTTGGATTACGTGTTCACTTACTGAATGTGTTGGTAATGATTTATATTGTGACAAACTGGAAAATAGCCATTTCGAAATATGTTTGACATCTGTGGCGGGGGAATCATTCAAGACCTTAAGTAAAACATACTCCATACAAACAAAATTCATTTAAATGATGTCATTATTACTGACGCATTAGTCAGAAAGCAGTATTTTACTGTTGTAGTTGGTCATGGTGAAGCTGCCTTTTAGTGATTGTATATACTGTATGGTAGTTTTATTTATGACAATGTATTATATTTTATAACCACATCATATGTAGAATTCTATTTGCATTTTAAAGTGATTGGTAACTTTAGATTAAAATAGGTTATGTTAAAATACAATAGAAATACTCATGTGTAGTATAGTACTTGCAGCAAATGTTCTTAGTTACATTCCACCATTGTTTAAAAATGAATCAAATCTCAGTAAAAAGATATCAAACAAAAGGACATTTGAACCTGAGCTCGCAGTAATCTGAAACATACTGTATTTAAAAGTCAAGTATACAATAGTAAAGCTTTAGTCCTGTTTTGTCATTTGGTTTGGGCTTGCCTTGAATAAACTCCAGGAGACTAGGGGTGCAGACAGGTGGCACAGGGAGGCATTCCTCTAGCAAATCTTAAGAAATGTCTCAGCTCAAAGCAACCAGAACCAGTCCAACATGGTGACAGCATGAGGAGGAAGATGAGAAGGAAGAGTAATGATGCAAGATACAGAATGAAAGCAAGGCAAGAGTGTGCAGGGAGAACATACTGGAATTGGCAGGGGATGCAGAGGACCTCCTCAGTGTAGTGCTGTGCATGAAAAAACTGAAAGGAGAAACAAAAACAGACAACATGCCAACAGTCAACAAAGAGATGACAGAGTGAAGGCATACACAGCATGGCATCGTGGGGGCTGCTGCGAGTGCGGTGAGTGAAGTGTTGTTGTGGAGAGGGGAGAGCTGGGATGGACTGGAGACAGGAGTACGATCATGGCTGGAAGGCATGCAAATTGATACTTGATGAACCAAATGTGAAGCAATATTCATGACAAAAAAAAGGAGATGAAAGTGGGTTGAAGAATGTTTGAACAAGCTGATCTCAGTTCTTAGAAACCCTGACTAAGTTGGACATCTGGAACTTTATTTAAAGTACATTGTGCATAATGTGTAAACAGTAGTGTGTGTATACATCTGATTGTAAATAAGAATGTAAAGTTAATGTCAGTTGGAGCAGCTTACTGGAAGCACGAGTGAATACATTGTGAAATAGTGAATATAAAGATGAAAATACTAGTGCTACTGTGTGTGTTCTGATCCATGAAATATTTTAGGATTAAAAATGAATGCATCATAAATCAAATCCTCTTTTCTATTACTTTTCTTTCAATGAAGAATTCTTGCCTGGGATAATTATCTATACAAATACAAGACTAAACTTGAAAAACGTCATATTTGAATATTTTCCATCACCACACATCATACAAGAGCACAATATTTTGCTGAAAAACTTTACACAAATAGTTGAGGGAGTTTGATAAAAGTTTGAGTGAAGTTTAACTGAGACCATTTCTGAATGTTGGAAAAAGTGTTAATCCTTTATGCGCTCGCATCAGTGAGAATATGCTGAGGCAGAAAGCAAATATGGTCACAAGCAAACAGACTAAACATTACAGAATAATGGCCGGTGGACAGAAAAGCAAATAAAATGATGTCCCTTTTTTGCGACGGAACTACTTGCAATGGCATAAATAAAAACCAAAATGAACAGAAATGTCTGTATCCATCCCAAAATAAGTAATTTAAAGTGTCATATTTTGCATTACTGTAGATCTTTTTCTACGTTTCATGTTATTAGAGATGCGTGATGTATGTCTTGGTGTCTTGCAGTCATTCTTACCTTCCTCCTGATGTCTGTGAATTGTGAAAAGAATAAGGACAGGTAGAAAGACAGCTCCAGTATATAATAATAATGGATGTCCACAGTCAGTGGCTGCAAAAGATGAAAAGCAACAAGGTTAAAATAAATATTTGAGAAGTGGGTAGTAAGTAATCTTGCTATGATATTTGAGTATGGATGTATTAAAATCCTTTTACCTGGTAAGGGTAGTTGTACCAGCACTCTTTAGTGTTCCAAAGCCATGTAGTCTGCAGAAAATAAAAACAAATTAAGTTAAAAATCAATAGTTTTTAACCTAAATAATATAAAACTAATAAAACAAGATAATAACTTAAAGTGACAAAGGTTAGGCCACCACTGTAAAACAATTTGCTGTGAAAACTCCAGGGAGAACGCTCCAAAGACTAAAATCCCTGACAACATCTCATATGTTACATTTTAATAAAGCCTAGAAAGAGCAGGCTCCATTAACAACAATATACATGCAGTGATAGGCTGTTCCCACACATACAATTGGAGCTAGTTCAATTTGTAATTTCAGATCCAACACATAAATATCAATGTGAACAATGAACAATGAAAAATTCCCTTGATGGATTCTGAATTAAATGAAAGTGGTTTCTAAAATTCTGAATAACTGGTTTGAGAGATGTTTTTATAGTGCTTACCCTGACATAAAAGGAAGCTGGAGTAAAAAGGAACAAGGGGGTGGGGGTGGTCAACCTCATATTAGGTTATTATTCATAACATAATACCATCAAGACGGCAAGATAAATGGTAACTATGATACATAAGAATGAGTTATAAGCAAACAGTGACCCATCGCTGTTACTGAGTTTACGTCTCCTGCACTCCTCTGCAGACCTGCTCTATTAATAAATCCCACGGAGACTGGAAGGAGCCTGCAGCGGGGATTGCCAGGGAATGAACTATTTTCACAAAGTACTTCATCATGCAACTTGTGTCTTTGAGAGATTTTTGCTATGGCCTTTCCCTACTCTGCGATTACACCAATGACAAAAATGTGTGTGACTAAAACTTCTAAAACAAGGAGAGCTGAACTACGCAGACATTGTGGTGACATACATGAGATTATTGAGTTCAAAGAGTTAACATTGGCGCAGAATGAAAAAGTTAGAAAAGTGCTTTGAAAAGAGAACTTCAGAGATAAATGTTGAGTCAGGGCTACCATAGTTTTAAAGGTAAGCATGCATGTAGCTAACATTAGCCGTTTAAGCTAATGTTTTTGCTAGCGGACGCAGAGGATAGCCTATCTAGAATAGTAACGTTCAATGCCAACACTGCAGTTGGTTGGGTTTTCTATCTTAGAAACAAAATAGTCCTTCAAAAGGTTACAAACCTACAGAACTGTAATTTTTACTCGTTTTGATAGTTATTTGGGTGTTTAGCTACAAAATACAAGTGAAATGTAAAGCACGCTAACTTTAGGCGCTAACTGAAGCGTATATCATTATCACAACCGGAGCCTTAAAGCCGCCGGAAGTAGCCTCATCATTATATAATTTAGACATGTTTTACTGTTAACACTAAGCATCTTTAATTCACTTTAAGGCAGTATTTTGTCCCAATGCCCATTTACCAATACGTTTTCAACACCATGTTCATCTCAATTGTTGTTTTGCAGCAGACATTAAAGTAACCCTGCACATACTTCATGGATGACACCTAACAATAGCACAAACAAACATTGACTTCCATAAGCAGACAAGCACCATAAAAAAAGCACAGTTCATTACTGAGCGCTACATACTTGGAAAAATGGATTGCATATTTAATGAAAGGCAATATTTAGCATTGGTAATGCTTTTTATTTATCAGCTCATTTTCTGCTCTCCTTTTCTTGTATGATCCATTATTAAAGACTACTTTTTGCACTAGGCTTTCTTACAAATTGCCTTAAATGAGTCCCATACACCATCCATTTACTTGCCAGCCTCATGACTAGGCTCTAACCATAAGATTTCCATGCTTGCCATGAACTTAATGTGAAGTAGAGAAAAATGTATTTGAACTCAGTGACTCATTCTAACCATAGAAGTAACCTAGTCATAGCAGCACTCTGGTGCTCATCTGTAAGTAAGGAAAACTTACCTTTTTAAGGAAACGCACTCCATAAGTAAATATGTATAGATAGAATGTAAATCTCCACCTGAAAGAAATAAGGAAAGAACATATAATTAAATATACATTTCAAAATGTTCAACATTTAATTTGTTTACATTTGCGTGACAATTTTTAGTTTTTTGGCCATAACTGCAGTGGTATTAGTAAGCTATGGGCTAATGTGGAGGACATGCTCCTTAAAATGGGCCCTTAGCTGCGTGCAGTGTGTGTTCAACTATTTTCATTCAGCTTTTTTTTCTTTCTCTTTTCCAATTAGATTTCTCATTTTTAATCCATACTATAATTTGGGACATTGGATTGAGATGATTAATTTATAGAGAAAATCAAAGTGTTAATCTGCTAAAACCAATAAGCAGAGAATAATACAGCTGCATCACATCCTGAAGTCAAACAACATACAGTAAAAACACAAGTTTACCAGGGGATGTGAACACAACTTGTGGTATCCTACTTTTGTACTTCTGTTCCTACATTTAGCACACTCAGTGTGGCTGTCATGCCTGTAATCAAAGATTTGAAGTGGTGTGAGGTCCTCTTATTTCCTATCAAACTCAAACCGGGGTGAGTCACTGAACCTTCCAAATTGTGAGTGAAAAAGACAAGACACTCGAAAATGTCCCAGCCCATCTTGATTCGAGCTTTATATAACCCTGCACATAATGTACAGTAACTACGGCAACACAATGGTAGGGAACGTTATAATGAGGTCTGGGCTTACAGGCAGAGAAGAGAGTGCTTCAGCTGACACTTCAGTGATCAAAGCCTTGCTGAGCAGGGTGATGTGCATATATATATATATATATATATATATATATATATATATATATATATATATATATATATATATATATATATATATATATATATACTGGCTTATAACAGTCAGCAACTGGGAGGAAGGATTTAAGACTGGTCTAATAGCAAGCCCCTTAACTACACATCACTGGAAGTTGCATCAGACGATACCATGTGTCTCTTTAGGGAACAAAAGCTAATTTGTCTGTATGGCTTGAGTTGGTTTCTTTTGTATTGTCAGAGCATTTCACAAAATAGATATGTTTAGAATTGTAGATAACATATTTTTTCCTATGGGAGCCTTAATTCTAGTATATATAAAACATACAATTCTGATTACAATGCAATATCATTCAGGGAGAAAAACTGAGGAGGCACAAAACAAAGCTTCACTTCTGGGACATCTGATGACTCCCGTGGCAGTGACGGAAGCTGTATAAGCTGTCATGTGAGACAAGGTTTTGCATACTCAAAGGTCGTGCCGTGTGGTTTTTCCGGCTGAACTCAAATCAAACACATTTTGACATCCACAGCCTCTAAACAAAACATGACACGAACAAAAAGAGAACAGGATAAATCAGCTTCTCCGTGCACGCACAACAGAGCTAGTCATTTTATGAGAATGTTTGTTCAAGGTTTTCAGTTGTAGCTCCGTAATGAATGCTGGAGAATCTCTAAGCATGTTAACACAAGGCCCATGGAGACCATTATTAGCTGCTCTTTGTGCTTGATCAACACTATTGTAAAACCAAATTAACTAAATTAAAGTCTACCTGGCACACAGTAAAGACTGTTGCATGGCAACTGGTTCATTGCGCCTGCAAGAGTCTGTTTCAAGTGCTGTTGAATCGCTGCTATACATGTACAATCACAATGACTCACACCTTGAATTCCCGTGCATAGTTTTTCTTCCCCAGTCAGACACAGATGTTCTTTTTTGTCATTGTGTGCTACGTTTCTTTTCAAGAAGTCTTGATTAAGATATTTTAAATGTTAAGCATATTATTATTATAGAGCTGCCGTTTATTTTCTATAATTATTGTAGCAGAAAGTAGCTAAATACACTTTTATAAGCTGGATATTATCTGTGGCTAGCCAAATTATGTGTAGTGTTTTGATTAACTTGGCCTATACACCAACTAAAAACTGTAGGTAATGTGGCACAATAATAGGAGGTTTATTTAAAGTGCTGTGGTACATAACAGCATCTTTTATAATAGCTTGAATACATTAATTAACCATTCACCATATAAGATGATCATCTATATATCATCACTAACAAATGTACGTGTTTGCAGAAGGCAGAAATTGTAGCGGGGAGGGGGGGTTCTGGTTGCTTTGAGCTGAGACATCAGAATGAGCACAGGTCTACTTTTTGTAATAAAATGATATCAAGCGGACAATGTTTGATCATTTAATTCCATGATGTCACTTCTCCAGGTGGGTAGTGTGAATACCAGTTGGCTGCAACTATTTGCATTTGGATGGTTTAACATCACAATTAAGTCATGAAGCTCACGCTTTGATAAGCATTAAGTTGTGCAAAAACCTTGATATATATTTAGTCACTGCCTTTACTCCCCAGGCAGTAATGGCTGTTCCTTCCACCTTTGTTTACTCGTCTAATTTGCGTTTATTACCAGGCCTCATTAAAAAAAATCCAAATGAAAAAGCTTGTTCATAGCCAGTTATTTAAATGTGGTAAAAGATGACTGCAACTAATTTAAGAAAAACACGGGTGTGGCTGTCCTCCCTAAGAACACATGTTAATGGCTCATCTCTCAGCTGTCCTATAAAGCTTTGGCTGAACACAAACATGCTTATTAACTGCCGGCTTGGTGTCTGCCGAGCTGCCTTTAGAGAGGCGTGCAGGCGGAAAGTTATGAAAATCATAGACCCAACATATCAGTCACAGGAAAAAATAAGGAAAAGCAAGAGCATTCACTTTTGGGAAATGCACTTATTTTCCTTCTTGCTAAGAATAAAATGAGTAAATCTGTTTTTTGTTATTAATCTTCTCTACTAACTATTGGAAGGAAAGGGAATTAATATATAACAATTCCTTAAAATATCAAATATGGTTGTAATATATTATATCTGACTTTTTTATTTAAATCTAAAAAACATATGTCAAAACCTATTGAAAAATATATAATGTCAAAGAAATACACTGTATATCTTATCACATATTACATATCCTATTTATGTTCTTTGTACTCAGTGAAGTAGAGAAGAGAAAGGATTGAGGAAGATGAGATGAGACAAGAGGGAGTATTGAGGACATTAAAAAAAATGTTTCTTCCTCAGCCCGCCCTGACCAAGGGGAACTGACGAGAATAGGGACTTTGAGGTGAAACTACAATGAAAAGACTGTTCATATTAATTTGTCATTTAGTATCACGTTCAATTTTGTAAACAGTGGTAAACACCTCTTAATCTGGATATGTTTTCTCGCAATGAACCTGTTTTAGGACATTCTGGAAAGATTTCAGGTTTCTGTTGTAAGAGAGAGGTTACTGTGGATGTCTTGAAAAACAAAATCAATACTTATACTTGTTGGAATTTTTTTTTTTTGCTGTAAAATATATCTTGGGAAAAAAGAGGCAGTAACAAAAGCTGGTAGAAAAACTCTATGCAGGGTCTTCATTATTTCCAGGCCACATGTGCACTGCTCTTCTCTCTGTTTGCATAATGAAAAGACTAGACAACAGATCAGCCATCTGAAAAACTGAGAGACAAAGAATGCTATCAGTCTGCAACAGCTGTGCATGAACGCCTAATTACAGCACCATCGCTGCTGGAAGGCCTGAAGTCGGACTGGTTTGGAAAATTGCACTGTAAGCAAATGAGACAGTATACTTAGCCAAACTACTGCAACAGCCTAATATCTCCTGCAGTCAATTATGCTGCATGCTGATAACGGCTTTGCTACAATTGTTACTTAGAGAGATAGAATGCCAGCTAATCATGTTCAAAAAGCTCAAGCAAGGAAGCAGTTCATTTTCAGATTCCTGTGTGATGTTGTAACAGGAGTCCAGTGGTTTTACCAGCTAGCAGTGTTGTACTGAGTGAACAGCAGCCTCAGGCGGAGCAGAGGATGTTGGCTCCCTGTGTCTCAAACTGCCAGATTGGCTGTACCGGTGTCTGACATGACTGTGCTCTGACAGCCACGCTCGCTTGATGGCCTTTAACATCGCACTGCTAAGTAACTACAATTTCCCTGATGGCAAATGCTTTACTAAAGATTAGCCATTTCTCCATTACAGCCTGAGAGGGTTTGTTGCCTGCACTGGGACACGTTTGACTATTATCGCACAGCAGCATCAAAACTCATGGGCCATGGAAGATACAGTGATGGTTTAATAAAACTAAATACTATTGTGATCGCTGTTAAAGTTTATGCTTTTGTTTGTGCGTAAAGCATAAATGGTTGGTGGATTAACTGATTAGTCAATCGACTGAGAATGCATTGGCAACTTTGGCTACCTTTGTTTCAGCAATTTTTCGGGCAAAAATGCCAAACATCTACCGGTTTTAGTTCCAATACTGTGAATTTAGGAACCTGTATTGTTTATATAATACATTTAAGCTGCACATGTTCTTTTTGACTACTATACTTTCTGGTAATTGGCCCATAAAGTTAAAATCCTATTAGCCTAGTAGTGGCTTTTTAATGGATAGTCTACACTACAATGAGGATTTGCTGCTTATCTTTTTATTTATAACATTTTTAACAGAACGTATTTCGGTTATGTTCTGTTGATTTGCCAAAATACATTATTCTGGGACCATTTTTAAGAGACATTTACCCTTTTTTGATATTTGGTAGATTTGTAAATTATTATTTGTTCTTAACAAAAGTTTTACATTACTGCCACCTTCCTATAAAACATGTTTTTGTGGATGAAGCACTGCAGCTTATATTAATTACTTTTCACCCATAGCTAAATAGCCGACAAACAAAAGAGTGATACATGACAGCAATAAAGCAGATAAGGTCTTCACTAATTCTGGAGAAATTAAGTCTGCGCTAGTTATTTTTCCTAAACTTTAATGTTATAACATGCATAGAAAATTGGCTTGCATCTCAGTTAGGGTTTGCTGTATGATAAGGTGTTAAAGCTGATTTTCCTTACATGCTTTCACAGAATCGTGCGAGGGTGCTGGGCTTCTCCTGGTTTCGGCGTTGTCTGAACCAGCGCTGGATGGTCCGCACATCCCAGTCGAGCTGTTTGGACAGACCCTCCAACCTTTTCTCGTCTGGATGCTGGCAAGACAACATCAACACGGCATATCTTAGTTTTCATTGTGGCACACATATCATTAGATAAAACATACAAAATTATGAAAAGAACACATGCACCACCTTGGTTATAGCAGTGAAAACCTTCTCCAGTATAGCGTTGGGTTGTGCTTTCTGTGGCCCGTTGGTTTGGATCTTCAGGCCCATGGCACATGGTCTTGCAATAAACCTGCAAAAATAAAACATGTTAAAAATAACATGACATGTATTGTTAGTATTTAGGGATAGGGACACAAGGCACCAGGAAGCACATGCATATCAAAACACTCTTTGCAGGTGCTGGGAAACAGTTGTCACATGGACACGTGCATCTGCTTGTTACCAATTCTTCTTTTACTCTAACAGGATATGACAATGTTTTGAACACAAGTTGTCTTCCCAGGTTATCTTGAGCATCTCTGGTTGAAAAGTCAGTATCATGTCATCATATCATGTCATATCATAGGCAGTGTGTGCATTTCTGATTATTCATTTGGTAAAACACAAGCTGGGATGCAGTAATATGCAAGTTGCTACCAAATGTAACTATCTAAATAAACTGTTTAAAATAAATGATGTATGCACAATCTCATGGATTTAACACATTTTAACTGATACATCATGACTGGTGCCTTCACTGTTTCAGCAGATCTTCCCTTTATAAATGATCAAACTGTGTGTTTAGGGACAAGTACTTAACGTGTGAGGGGTGTAGTGGGGCCTTACTCAATACTTATAAAAAATACTTCTGACCCATATATGCATGACTGTACCATCATGGCTTGATTATTGTACAATAATAATATAAGATGGTCATATCTGGAGCAGTAGAGTGACAACAAACCACCCGGATAAGTAAAAGGAGCCGGTCTCCGGCATGGCTCTTTGTCTAAATTCAGGTTTGAGCAGAGAGGACAGTAACTGGATTTGGGCAGGTATGGTAACTTGGCCGCACTGTGAGTGTATGTGTGCTCTGACAGATGCATCAAATGCAGACAGCGGGTAACGCTGCAGGCCTGCAGAAACAAGGATGATCAACCGTGGTGATTTGTGGGCTAACCAGATAAGGTGCCATTGTTTAGATAACAGATAGATAAACATGGACAGCGGGGTGTGCTGCCTGCATCATCCACCGGAGCATTTCCTCGACACAACAACCCGTACCACAGCCACCTGGATTATCGCGTGCTTAGACCCACCTTTCAAAAACCAGCCGAATCATAAAGATGCAGAATGCTAAAGGACAAGCCAGATACAGATCCTCGGCTTGCGGGAACGTTGCTTCATCTGTGTTTTTTAAATCAGCCCAGGTTACATTGTGGGGGAGCCAGAACCTCTCGTTCCAAAACCACGCCAAAATACCCGCCATCTCCCTGCAGCAGACACCGTAACCGGGGGGAAAGAGAAGTCGATGGCCCGCTGTGTCCCGGAGGTCTCTCACAGGCGATCTGACCGTGCACCGTGGCTGATGATGAGATATCCGTGCGAGCTGTGCGTCCGCTTCCCCTCAGCTTTCCCAGTGTAGGGAAGTAGACTCAATCAGCTCCTCAGCGGCTGATTGGTGCGTTGAAATGTCATGCAAAACACTCGCTTTAGTACGTTATGCCGGCTATAACGGCGTAATCAAGGTAAACCACGTTTTGTGTACATAGACTGTGTTGTGTAGCATATTTAGAGTAACACTAACAGTGTATGTTTCCTTATGAACCCACTACAGAAGGCTAAATGTATTTTGTTTTGTTTTTAAAGCTAGTTTTACACGTCTTGTGGAACCTTATATTATCGTAAGAAAACCCATACTAGCCTGCCTACCATGTGAGGTGTCATCTTCAATGCACTTTTATAACTGAATTCAAACTGATCGTTAATCATTTTTTGTGAAAGTTAAGCAGAATTTATGGCAATACTAAAGCGATGGGCTACATCTTGTTGGTGAACAACGCCATCTACAGACAGATTTGATGTAGTTGACCTCTGAGATGGGAAATTCATAAATGATGTGACAAAGTAAAAAAAACCTTTTCTATTTTTAGCATTTGGTATATATTTTGGGCACCACCAAACTATATTTATTAATACATATTTATATTTTATGGAACCGCCTAACTTTATTTTTAGTTTTTGGTCCAATTTTACAATCCAAATAAGATATTCAAAAATCATGCTTTAACAAAGAGTGAGGTTCATTTATTTTTTACATTGTATTTGGAGTAGTATTGTGTTGTAAAGGCCTTTTCGAATAAACGAGAATTAGATTAATGCTTGCTACACAGCTTATTTCTGATTCGATGATAAGGTAAACCACTAGCTAGTTAATTTATTTTTTGAGGACAATGTGTATGGCCTTTATGTATACATAAATTGACCACAATTCCCCCATGAAATTGCTTACAGCCCATATATATTTTTCCATTCAAGTTTCTAAGATATTTCTGATTAATCAGGATGTTCCACATCCACAGGGCAGTATTGTGTGGTAAATACATTAATCATAGGCTACTTGTTCTAATAGTACCAATGAAGGATAGTTTGCGAGTGGGAATCTGATAGTTTCACAGGCAATTTCAATACTTCATAATCAAAAGCAATACAAACGGAATTCCTCCTATTCTTTTAAAAGATTGTATTAGGGATGACAATACAAAGATGTAATGGCGCCATCTACCGGCCATTAATTGCAACGTCACTTGCAGTTTTGCCAACATGTGACATGAAGTCGTCACACATACGTGTTACTGTCTCACGGCTGCGAAGTCATTTTACACATTTAACCAACGTCTAGACACTCTTTTAACAGAATAGTGGCTATAAACATTAATACGACAATAATTAATTAAAGATAGGAATTGCTGCCTTTTGAACAACCTGTCAGTCTCCTTAGATGGTAACAGTGATTTTTATTCATTGTCTTCCTGTGTGTATGGAACCATTGTGTTATTGTGTCATTGGCATGTCAGTGCGCGTGCGGTCCGTTATTTTCCGGGTTGTGTCACTGTCACATCGCCAGCTGACATTTGTAGTGAGGAAGGGAGGTCAAATTTGACTCTCTCTCTCTCTCTCTCTCCCTCTCTGCCTCCCTCCCTCCCACCCTCTCTCTCTCTCTCTGTGTCTCTCTCTCAGTGTCTGTCTGTGAGAGAGGCTGCTAACTAGCGCAGAATCATCATCATCATGGCGGATCAAGGCGAGTCTCCGGCTCCGGTCCTCCAGCCGCAGCCCGCGCTGACAACCAGCTGGCCAATTACCAGAGAGTCGTACGAGCTGCAGGAAGTCATAGGTTAGTACCGGGAGATGTGATGAACGCTGTGTTTTATCACGGAGAGACACGAGTTATCAGCTGGGAATGACGATGAGGGGCCTACCGGCTTTTTTTTATAAGCAGTAGCCTCCTGCAATGCTTTGCAATGCGGATGTTAACAGGCACTTTTAGAAACTACCGGTCTGCATCAGCTGCATCCTGCATGTGATTGGAAATTATACTCTCCGTAAATGCGACTTGGATTATAGTGACATACTCACGTGTCCAGTTTATTAGCCATTACTAAATCACAGATGCTGTAGCTGTCACTATGTGTTATTCCACATGTGCTATCTGTGATGGCACGTAAACAGAATGTAACAGTCTATCACATCATCTCAAATTGGCGATGTTTCAAATGTAACATGTACTTCATACTAACATTACAGCTAATGGTGTAGGGTAATATGATGATAGTTGTTAAAGTAGCTGAAATTCAAATTGTTAACATTAACGCCAGTAAAACGTTCAGTTAGCCTAAATAGAGTCAACTCCTGCGGTCATGTAACTTACTATGATCTTTCGTCATTAATAACTGTTTTTTAGTCTTTCAAAATGTTAGTAAAAAAGGAAAAAATGCCTATCATATTTTTCAAGACCCAGAGATCGATGTCTTTAAATGTGCCTTTTATATCTGACAAACAGTGTAAAACTCAATGATACATACAATTGTATAAACGGAGGAAAGCAGCTTCCTTACATTAGAGCTTTTTAATCAATTAATTCACTACAATTTTAAGCACTTATTGTAGCTTACAACTAGCTATAGGTCAAAGGCAGTTAACTTTGTACACTTACATAATCACTTGTTAAGCCTTGTTTACATTCATAAACCTATACAAAAATATACTTCAAAAGTTTTATGTATTTTGTTATAATGTGTTTTCTGTCACTATACTTAGAAGACTCTTGATATGCGGATATCTAGATTTATGAACATGTTATATGTGCTGTAGAATTGTCATTTTAATTAAATGTTTTTCAAAGTTTGAAAAAGTGATATGCCAGCACAAGTCACAGAACGCTCAATTCCAGCGATGTCATGATCATTTACTTTAAGAAATATTATTAACTAACTACAAACAACAATATAGTACACATTGTAGTAATGTGTTTTTATTACATGTACAGCACTTTGGCTCGACCAAAAATCGCTTTTAAATGTGCTTTATAAATAAAACTTGATTTGATTTGATTTGATTTGATATAAATCTCCTATTTAAAAAGGCAAAAGGAAGTTGCCTGAATATTTTTGGCAGTGAGCTGACAAGTCATATCACTGCTGATAAGAAGTAGCAGCCCAGCTGTGGTCTGCGAGCAGATGAGTTAGGGAGACCCCCCTCTGTTCTCATAATCAGCTGGTAAGCACCCAGATCTCCTGTGTGTGCTCGTTCTCCTTATCTGTCACTAACAGTTGAAAAGCAATACGCTGTGTGTCCCCGCTTCTTGGTGTGAACGTCACTGCCCGGCCCAGCATGACCTGATTTTGAATGAACACAGTAAACAACTCGTCACATTGAAGTCAAAAGTGTATATAAGTCAGCATATTTATTGTTCGCCAGCACATCTGACTGATGAATACAGATTCAGCCAGACAAATTCCACAAAGCCACTGAGAGATGGTGAATTTAAGAGTTGTGTTCCAGCTGTCTTTGCAGCGAGTCCCTCTGTGCTCCTGTCCACTTTGTCATTGCTATGTTGTGTCTGTGATTTCAGGCAGCGGGGCCACAGCTGTGGTGCAGGCGGCCCTCTGCACCCCCAGACAGGAGCGCGTCGCCATAAAGAGAATAAACCTGGAAAAATGCCAGACCAGCATGGATGAGCTATTAGTGAGTACATGAAATACAGGCTTATTTTTTTATTGTCTTTGTATCACTGTCTAATATCTTACTTTTACTTATTTTTCTCAACAAAATGCATTCATATTTGTTTATCTATAATTGCCGACACAGCCCTCATAATGATCGACCTGGGAAAAGGCAGAAAATAAGCAAAAAAATAATTGCGAAACAAAACAGAGATGCCGATTCAGGTGACCCCGATGTTTGGCCATCTTTTTGCTGTAATTTCTACTTTATAAGTAATGGGGACTGATCATTAGCAAGGGATTAAGATCACAGATGACTTCAGCGAATGGTAATCCTAGTCCCGTGTGAATAGGGAATCTGTCCGAGTAACAATTTCTATACTTATCTTTCCAGTTGAACATCCCCTGACACATTATAACTCCTGTTGTTTTTCACTCATATATAGAAAGAAATCCAAGCTATGAGCCAGTGTTACCATCCCAATGTTGTCACCTACTACACCTCCTTTGTGGTGAAGGATGAACTTTGGTTAGTCATGAAGCTTCTGAGTGGAGGTAAACTGTAACCAGATCCTATCAATGTCTTTATAATGAAAGCGCAGTGAATGTGACGATGCTACATGTCTATGCTTTGATCTGCTTTGAACAGCTGCCTTTGTTAAATCTAATTTATTCTGTAGATGTATTGTGTAGTCATTCCGAGTATACTAATTGTCTTTTGACTATTTTAATTGTCATATATCTATAATCTCTCTCTCTCTATATATATAGCCTCTAAAAGTTACAACTGGCAATAAATAAGACATTAGAAGTAACATGTTTGTTTTTTCTTCACAAGTGATGCGTAAAAGAAATTAAACAACCATCTAATCAGCATTTCAACAACTGTTTTCCATTATGTATCCTCAAAAACATCGGATTTAAATCCTCATAAAGTATTCTTCCAGCTCAGTGTTATATTCTGGCTTCATTACAGTTATCAGGAGGCAGTATCACTCTTGGCTGCTTGCTTTTGTAAACAGCTTACAGCTCTCACTTGTGAAGGAGTTACAGCAGTGATGTTACTCGCTCTAATGTACTGCCTATAACGCTTTTCTCTTTAAAGGACAACAAGCAATTAGCAGAGACGCATGCAATTTGCGCCTGGATATTGAGCACGTAATGACTCAGGGTAACACTGCAGCTGATTTGTGTTTTTCATTTATATGTGAAAAATTAACATAATGTTTTTATTTTTCTATGGTGTGTTTTAAGGCTCTATGCTGGATATAATTAAGCACACAAACAAAGAAG